AGGCGTTGACGGCTGGGCGGCGAAGGCCTGGAGACCCGAGTGCCCAGCTTCCGACGGCCGGCCTGGGAGGCCGTGCTGGCCACGCAGACTCTACAGCGCGCCGGCACGGACAGGTGGCCGCAGGTGGCCGGCTGTCGGCGGTGAAGGACAGAGAGGAGGTCCCCACGGATGCGCTCCTGGCTGCTCAGTGCTTGTTCCCGCTGAGTCGGGTCTGCAGGCCCCGGGCAGGGTCCTCCCAGGGCAGCCCTGGCCCTGTCTCCACGGTGCCCCTGGGGAAGCAGAGCCGCAGGTCCCGGCAGAGCTCTCGGAATAGATCTCACGAAGCGGCCCTCACCCGCAGGCCTGACGGGGCGTCGTCTGGTCCGGCGGCGGCGGCTGGGCTGAGAGCATGGCCGGGGCCGGCAGGGTCGGGCCCGGGCTGCAGGCTGCTCAGCGGTACCCAGCAGGGCGGGGGCCACAGCGAGGCTGGACTCGAGTCCTTCTCCGAAGCACGGTAAGTGGCACAGTGATAAAAACGGCCTGAAATAGAGAGGCCCGGAGGACATTTGCTGCCAGTCAGACGCCGACCCGCGTGGCTGCTGTGGGCCCCTGTGGTCCATGTCAGCACGCAGCCCGGCCCACTGCGGTCCCCCTCACCCCTCCGCAGTCAGTCACGGCGACTTCGTCACGACGGGAACCGAGTTCCCAGAGTGCCCTGGTGACGGGCGTGGGTCTGAGGAGTGACGGAGACTCACGGGGTGACGAGGAAATGCGGGAGGGAACATCACACAGCAGAAGTCGGAGCCGGTCCGGTCGTCTGAGGCTGGGGCTCCCCAGCCGAGGGTCGCGTGTGCTGGGCCAGGTGAGGGCCGGAGCTGGACGGGCAGGTGGCAGGGGGAGCAGACGTGTCGCTGAGGTCACCGAGGGCCTGTGGGCTGTCCAAGTGGTCACTGTGATCCCCTGAGAACCAGGACCACAGACGAGGCGGTGGCCGTGGGGAGGCCGAGCCAGCCGCTGGCAGAGGGTCCGCACTGTCCTGAGCGGCCCTGTCACTCTCGTGATCCTGGGAGATTGACAGGGCTCTCTGGGGACATGTAACGTTCACCAGCTTGGTGAGGACTCGAGTCCAATAGAGCTGACTGGAGGTGCCTTGTCCCCGCCCTGGGGACTGGGCCCCCCTCTGCCCTGGGGGGGAAGGGCATGCCCCCCCCTCAGGAATTGACTTGAAACTCAGTCTTGGCTCCAGCTAAATGGACTCCCGGTGAGAATGTCCCCTCAGTCACAGATGCCTGAGACCCAGCACAGTGACAGCACGGCAGGCTCTCATTAAGGTCGGCTCAGGAGTAGGTGACCGGACAGAGCTGCTCTGGGACCTGCGTGTCAGACCCACAGCGTCCCTCCGAGGCAGGGTGGGCGTCTGAGGGGCGCGCTGCAGCCCAGGCCTCAGAGAGCGGCCTCGGCCCTTTCACAGGCCCACCCCGCCCTGGCACGGCCACCCGCCCAAGTGCCGTGGAGGCTGCCGCTGTGCCCGGGGGCAGGAGGGCAGCCCGCTCTGAGGCTGACTGAGAAGCCGGGAACGCTGCCATGAAACACAGTCCCCGAGGGACGGCGGGAGGTCAGGGCCCAAGCTGACAGGCCGGTGTGCTCGGGCCTCGGCTGGGCGGATTAAAGAGCTCTGTCCTGCAGGGAATGGCATGACCCTGCGGGAAGCCGCACGGTGTCACCCGGAGCCAAGGACACGGCGGAGTTCAAAGACCCCACAGGAAGCCGCACGGTGTCACCCGGAGCCAAGGACACAGCAGAGTTCAAAACGACAGGAAACAGTGGGCTGGATGGCAGTCTCTTAGGGATGAATTTGGGCCATTGTTTGAAAGAAAAAGTTTGGTCAGGAAGCCCACGCTGTCCAAACGCCGGGAGGAGGGCGGGGCCCACGGGGAGTCGGGGCTCCGCGCCAGGCACAGGCCCCCCGGAAACGTCCCGCTGCAGGGCGGTGGCGGCGGCGGGCCTGGCTGGGGCGGCGGCTCCGTGCATTCCTTTCCGGCGAGTTATCAGAGGCTGCAGCTCCGCCCAGGAACAGGCCCTGGAGCCGCCGCCGGCACCCGGGGAGTGACCGGCCCACGCTGGGGCTCCCCACGGGGCGGCCGCTTCCGGGAGGCTGTGATAACAGGTGACACGGGTAGGACAGGTAGCACAGGTGCGAGGCGGTGGCATTGTCCCCCGCGAGGCGGCTGTGGGAACAGAGGAGGGAGAAGCGGCAGCAGCTCGTCGGGGGTGGGCCCAGGACACGGATGGCCGAGGCGGGAGCTTCCGCTGCCATGCGGCTCAGCTGACGGGGCGTCGGGGTCGGGGCAGACGACGTGGGACGGGGCCCAGTGGGGTGTGCATGACGTGGGACCCCAGAGAGCAGGGTTTGGGTGGGGAGTGTGTGTGTGGTTTGAGCTGGGTGCAGACCCCGGGGCTGAGGCCCCACTGGAGACGTGTCAGCGTTCAGAGAGCCGCCGGGACGGGGAGGGGCAGGGGGGCAGTGAGAGGAGACGGGGTGTGGAGAGGGGCAGCCCCGAGGCCAGGGGACCCCCGCGAGGCAGGGACGGCGCGAAGGAGCAGCCAGCCGGAGAGCCAGGTGGCGGCCGCAGCGGGGAGGAGCGAGCGCGTCTGCGGACGAGCAGTCCCGCCTCGCCCCTGGCCCAGGCCGCTCACACTCAGAGGTCGGGCCTGCGGCTGGAGTGACACCTGGGAACCAGCCCGGGCGAGGACACTGAAGTAGGCGGTGTCCCTGGGGACGGCAGACGCTCTGGGATGACGGGCTCGATGACCAGGCCAGGCTTTGATTCCGGTTCTGCTCCTTGCCGGCCACGCACGGGGCCGTGGGTCAGGGCGGTGAAGCCGCACGTCACAGGCGGTGACTCCAGTGAGCCCGGGAAGGAACGTGCCGGCTCCCTCCGCGGGGCCACCAGGGAGAACTGGCGGGCTTTCAAGGACGCAGTGCCTGTCCCCCTGGCCGCCCTGCCTCTGGTGGCTCTGCTCTCCAGCTCCGCGTTGGGGCAGCGCCAGAGAGAGGAGCAAACCCTCCCCAGCGGCCTGGCCTGGGTCTCGCCGGCCCATGTGCAGAGGGGGCAGTGGAGGCACAAAGCGTGACCACGACAGGTCAACATGGAACGAGGCGGGGCGTCTCAAGA